TCTTTCCTCATTTCTTTATATTTTTGAATTATCCAAAAAAAAATGCAGACCTGGTAGTGGTGGTAGTTCTGCCGGGCCGAGGCGCCGGATAATTGCGGATGACGATGTCCCAGTCCCTCGGCGGCGGCGGTGGCGGTCGTCGCAACAACTCCGTCACTTCCCGCGTGTGTCTCGTGACGTCCTCAAACACGTCCGTCTCCGTGATATTGCTCACGTAGCGGTCATCCACGACGACCTGAGTCGACACCGGGGCCGGTGGCGGCAGTTCCTGCCGGTGCACCAAGGCAGTCGTCGTCGTCGTCACTTCCGGTGCAACCGCCATCTCCGACACTGTGCGTTCCGCTGACGAAGACCCGCCCAATGAAGGCGCCGACCGGACAAACTGCTGCTCTTGCTTCCGGCGGACACGGGGTAATTCGATCGTCGGGATCACCTCGTCGTCGTCGTCGCCTGAATAAATTACATAATGGGACAAGTTTCATGAAAATTCGATTTATCGCATCTCCTCATGAGTCAATTGAAAAAAAAATATTTTACGTACTTTTTTTTAGTAAATCAACATAGCATAAAACTACCCAAAAACCAAACACAAGCTAAAAATCATTCGAGGATCACATCGATCCAAATAATTAACTACACAGACAAAACACACAAAAAGGAAAGACAAAAATCCTGCTAAAACAAAAATACAAGGTTTTAAGAACGTTTTTCAAAAGAATTCTTCGAAATTTTTTTTTCAGGTTTCATCCGTAGATATGAGATTGAAAAACAAAACTCAAGTGCAGAATAAGGCTGAAACAAGTTCCATGATCAGAATTTCATCGTGCAGAAAGACAGAAAAAACTAAAACAAATTGATGGTAATCTTCCGAGAAGATTTACATAAAATAAAATTCCGTTTTTTTTTTCAAAAATGCACAAAATTAAAAAAAAACACTGCAGTAAATGAACTCGAATAAGGGTTCCATAATCAGAATCATAGAAGAAAAACGAGAAACAACAATACTGAAACGTTCCTCTTCAATTTTTGAGAAACGAAAATACAGATGACACGAATGTCGTCGAGTGTTCAAAACCTTTTCCTTCCATTTTAAACAGGAAATAAAGTGCAATGAATCACATCAAGAGGGTGAATAACACGAAAACATTACGCAGGTGAATATTTGACATTTCAATCAATTTTGATCTGCAATGATAATTACAAAAACAAAAACTCAAATGTTATTCTGATGCATCATCTTTAATTAATAAAAGAAATATATATATAAAACCGGACGAAATGAATGTCGTCGAGTTTCAAAAGACGTTCCCTACGATATTATTTTGCACGCAAGAACAAATCAAATTTAAATGCATCTGAGAGTTAAAAATTAAAAAAATAATAACAAAGAAGATGCTCAATTATTCGACTGTTTTTTCAAATTTTCATTTGCAATTCATATAAATTTTTTCTTTACATCAATAACACACAAGAAATAACTGAGCCCGCAGATAATTTCTCCCTCGCATCGTCAACTAGCTGACCTTCGAGGATCGTCGTGAGGGATCTCTCGGCGTCACTCATCACACTCGTTCGGTCGTCGGCACTCGTCACCGTCGACGGCGGC